AAAAAAAAAAAATGTAGAAAGAATCACTTGGTCAGATGGGAGGTAGTGTGCCAGAGTAAAGAACAGGGAGGTCTAGGTATAGGAAATCTGGGAAAGAAAAATTCATCCTTGCTAGGTAAGTGGTTGTGGAGGTGGCCTTTGGAGAGGGGGAAGCTGTGTCAAGAAGTGATAGGCAGTATACATGGTGGTGTAGGCAATGGTTGGGACGTTGGGGTCTCTTCGAAGGCTACTTTGGCTTCTCCCTACAAATCCATTTGTGGAGTACTCCCTCAGTTCCTTGGCCTAATCAGGTATGATGTTTGCTTTGGGGACAAGTTTCTCTTTTGGGAGGATCTTTGGCTTGGCAACTCAACCCTTAAAGACCTTTATCCTTCTCTTTATTCCATTTCTTTGCTTAAAAAAGAAACTGTACATCGTTTTGTGTCGTGCTCTCAGTCGACCGGATTAAGTTGGGACCTGGGACTAAGAAGAAACTTGAGAGACAGTGAGCTTGAATCGGAAACCTCGCCCTTGCAAGTCCTTGACTCGGTTTTCCTGGATCATTCTTAGCCTGATGGTCATATTTGGATTCCGCACCCTAGGGGCTTGTTTTCTTGTGCCTCTTTCTTGTCTTATTTGTGTTCAGCCCCGAACCTCTCTCATGCCCTTTTAAAGAATTCTGGTCTAAACCTGTTCCTCCCAAGGTTGGGGCTTTGTGTTGGGAAGTTTTTCTTGGAAAAATAAACACGTTAGACACCTTGCAAAAAAGAAGACCTTCCTTGTGTCTTTCCCCCAACTGGTGTACCCTATGTAAAGCAAGTGGTGAAATCTATTACCATCTCCTAATTTCGCCCTTTTGTTGTAGGCCTCTGGGAAAAGGTCTTTGTCATAGGTGGATTGTGCCTCCACAGCAGATTGGAAATCTCTTTGACTCCACGACCTTCAGCTGGCCGAAGAAGAGAGGTAAAGTCATGTGGAGATGTGTCTTAGGGCTGTTTTGATATGGACGGTGTGGGAAGAGAGAAATGGCAGAGTCTTCAGTGATAGAGAAAGGAGTGAGGAGGCAGTGTGGGAGTGTATTTTAAATAGAGTTATACATTGGGTTAAAGCCTCAAACCTGTTCTCAGATTTCTCTGTTGATGACTTGTGGAGAAATTGGGGAACTGTAGCTAGAAGTTCTACCACAAGGAACAAACCAGTGTTAGCTTCGGAACCTCCTGACGAAGGCTTTATCAAGTTGAACTTTGATGGCAGCAGTTTAGGGAACCCAGGTCTAGCTGGTATAGGAGTTTTCAGTAATAATGAGGGACATATTATTGCTGTTTTCTCAGGCCCGGTTGGAATAGGAGACTCAGTTTTGGCAGAGTTCCAAGCAGTCTTGCAAGGAGTAGAGATTGCTAGACAGCTAAGTTTTGACAGACTGCTCATTGAAGGCCACTCTAAATTGATAGTAGGGTGGCCGAAGGAACCAGAAGCAGTGATTTGCAAGTACAAGGAATCTATGAAAAAGTTCAAATGGCTGGTTTGAGATATGACGGTTTTTGTTCAATGTGAAAGGCGGTTAGCAAATGGGATGGCAGGTTACTTCGTGAAGAGGGGGATGCATAAGTCTGAACTTTTATTTTGGCTTAGTTGTAATTTGGGTTGTTGTAGGTTGGGATTGCACCTCACGTCCCTATTGGAATGGTTTGTCTTGTAAATCTTGATGTAATCCCTTCTCATTTTTTGATAAAACTTTACCATTTATCAAATGAAACAAGAGAGTAAATATGGTAGTTCTAGTTCTCTATTGGGAAACATCACCTATCCAAAATTCTTATGGGTCAAAGATATGCAAAGGAATCATGAAGAACAAGAAATTCACTTCATTCAAGACAGCAAATATTGAATAGGTCTATTTTTGGAAGGATAACTGGTGAGAGAGAAGACTTATGCGAATTCTACCCCAGCCTCTTGTTTTTGGAGATAAAGTGAAAATTCATTAAATAAGAAAAGGAAAGATTACAATCTAGCAGGTGATAAGGCATTACCCACAACTAAAAAAGCATAAAAGAACTGCTAGGGAACATAATTAAAGTAAACTATCCAAATTACAAAGTTGAAATCCCAAAAATTTCTTCCATCTTGTCCCCGAAATCCTCCCTAGAGACTTGATTAAATTCTGGAGTTAATAGAACCAAGTCTGCAACCGAATTGTTGACAGCTGCTACAATCTTGTCCAGATTCCAATATTTGTCTTCAAAAATTCTTCTATTTGTTTCCGTCCATATGTTCCACCCTCTTTACATTAGCAGCAAGGTTCAAAATATCAATACACCGGTAGGGGCATATCGGGCGAATCGATACCTTTTTTTTACTTTTTTTTTTCAAAACCGGTTCAGGGGGGCCGGTTTAGGGCTCCTCCACCCCCTGAACCGGTCAGACCCCCGATACACCCACTGTAGGGGCGTATCAGGGAGGTCCTGGAACAATACATATCGACCAATACGGGCCGATACGTGTTGATAGTTTGAATCTTGATTAGCAGAAAACAAGGAGGTAACACTTGGAGATTGCTACGACATTGCGGAAAGAGTGAGAACATTTGATTTGGGTTCCTTTTTTTTGACGAATAACAGAATTTATTAATTATAAACATAAATATGTGTACAAGTTAAGCATCCCTTGGGAGGTTAATATTTACTCTCTCTCCTAAATAACACCAAATTACAACTGAGCCCAGTATTATTGATCCCTATTGACCCCTTGCTTTGCTAGTGTATCAGCCAACCCATTTGCCAATCTTTGGACCCATTGTATCCTTATCAGGAAATTCCTTGTCAACCATTTAATCTTCTTTAGCATCTTCCTATGATGCCAAACTGCTTTTTCCTCATCCTCTAGCCTGCTCACCACCACCTTAGAGTCCCCTTCAATGATTAATCTATCCAAATTCATTTCTTTTGCTCTTTGTATTCCATGAAGAACAGCATAGAGGTTCATCCCTTGTGGAGTCCCCAAAGCCAATAGGACCCAAGAACAAGGCTTTGATATTGCTGTTATCCGTAAAAACCTTATTTCAACATGCAGCCTCTACAACCATTTTTCTATCCACAAGCCTCTTGCAGCCATCCATGATTTTGTGAGATAAGAGAGGGGAGGGCCTGTTTCAAAT